AAAGGATGGGACCAGTGGTGCCGGTGGAATACGGGAGAAGGGAATGTGGGAGAAAGGAAGATGGGAGGAACCAACCCAGGGACAAGGGAACAACAAGTGAACTAAAATCAATGGAAGGAAGGTTGTAGGATGCCTAGTGGGGCTCAATCAAGGGCAATGTAGCAGCGAGGAATTACTAAATCTGAATGAAGGTTGAACATGATGGTGGGACAAGAGGAAAGTAAAAGGAAATAGAGGAAAGAACCAGGAGGCAAAGGATATTTAGAGGCCTAAATACAGGCATGTACAAATACACACACACACACACACACACACACATAAAACGAGAGGGGAATAGAACTATATACTCATATCTGTATGTTAAGAATTAAAGTTGCAGATGGACATTGGGCCTTGACTCAAGTACTCCATCAACACAAGAACACTTTGTTCTAACAATCGATATTTTATGATGCTCACCTTCCCTACACGATCGCTGAAGACAAAATGGGTGCATAAGCAAATGTGGTGAAGAAAGCTGATGGTGCCTGGTTATCAAAAGGTATAATAACATCCCAGCAGGTTTTAATGGGCAGGCACACTTTAAAATTCTTCATACCCAAATTAATTTATCATGTGTTATTGTGGTACGGATGCAGAATATAATTATGATTATCACACAGGGCAGTCTGTGAGAATTACAACAGGCAGAACTCAGGAAAGCTGTGGAACAGTTTGTGCCATGGTATCAACTAGAAAGTGATGTTTTAATCGCCCAGATGCATAGCATATAGATCTCCATTTGAGCTCAAAGTAGATTCTCATATTAGTCTGTGAGTCATAAGTACTTCCCCTCTCATGGAGTGGATTAACATCACAATTATGATCATAGGTTGCCATCAAAGGACATTCCAAAGGGAGTGCTGCTCAAGTTGCCATGTTAATCAAACAGCCTAGCAGTATTTTGCTACATGCATCACATTAATAATTAAGCTCCTTTTGAAGACACAACTAGGAGACTATTACAGATAAAAGATATTGATTATACCTTTGCATAGTTTACAATCCAAGATATAATTGCACGAAACAATTACAAAGCAATATGAGATTGAGTCTAGTATAAATGAGTGCTAGATTTTGTGGTATTCTTTTCAATACTGAACACTCTTCACTGGAAACCTTCTTTGGAATCTTCTTTCCCACAGACACATTCTAGTATGACTTACCCAGTTTTCTCCCGACAAGGATAAGGCAACGTAAGAAGATTCCAATATTGGTGGGATCTTTTAAGCACACACGAAGAATAAATTAATGTTTATTTATCGGACAATGCACTACATGAATAACTTGCAAGGCTAGAGTTTACAAGTCGAATAATTCAGATATATATTTAGTTAATTTTTTTTGTTCTGCTACAACTTATCCGTTTAAATGGAGCAAGTAACCTCGAAATATTTCCAATAATGATATAACAATATCACCTCATCTCTTTTACCCAACAAGTCTAAAATGTATATATTTATATGACCACTTCATATCATTTCAGAATGCAGATATATATATATATATATATTTTTTTCCCACTTCTAGGTCAAAATTAAATTTGTTTGAACAGCACTTCATTTTTTAATTTTACTCTAGATATTTAAGAATTTATTTGATAGGTACTGGTTTGTGTCTATTGTGTACTTTTTCCTGATTTGGGTAGAGAAGAGGCAGAAGATATCTAAGTTTTAGTCTTGTCCAAAAAACAATTGCTGAGGATCCCTACAAAATAATACGCAATTAAATGTCCAAATTATAGATAGATATGTTTCCTGAAGAGGAGAGTTCATGGAATATTAGGTATTGTCTTATGGAAAAGGAAGGGTTGCTCAAGATTTGCTTAATTCAGCAGTTGCCATGGAGTCATCTCTGGTTCACAATAAAACACCGTCCCATTTTGTGCCACCCTCACAGTTGATGCTGTGGCTGAGTCTTTTGCTGTAGCCACTGCATCAATCCATCTGTTGAAGGACCTTCTTTATCAATGACCCTCTACGTTACCAGCCTAAGCCCTTTTCCAGGGACGGATCCCTCTTGATAACATGTCCAAAGCACGTGAGATGACGTTTTTTGACAACCTCCCTTCTAAGGAGCATGCTGGCTCTACTTCTTTTAAGACAGATTTGTTTGTTCTTCTGTCAGCCCATGATACATTCAGTATTCCTTGCCAACCCTGTAATTTACATGCCTCTATTCTTACTCATAGTTAGGGGAACATGCTCATGTTCAGAGGAAACGTTAAGACGGAAACACTCAATTGGGGATAAGTGTGCTTAAGTGAAGTAAGAAGGTTGAGCATTATGAAGGGCAGGATCAAATATTCTAGAAATCTGTCATTAATGTAAAAAATGGAAACAAATTCATTTTTTCAAACATCCCTTTCTAGTATAATATTTAGTTTTTAAGTT